TCCGTAGCTCGGTTGTTGATCCTTCCCCACCGTCTTGTGGTTTGTTAGTGAAAGTAATGGATAGGGTTGTACACAGACTACACAACCATGCGCTTGGGTTTGTCACCAAGCAGAGCAGCTTGGATGGAACAATGGACACGGAAGCTTTCAGTCTCAGGGAAGGTGACAGCTAAAGAAATGGAGCAGGGCTTGGGCAGATTAGGATTCGCTGCAAATGCGCTGACATGGGAACGCCCTTTCTTGGGGCCACTTTATTCTTGGACGGCTGCTGTGAGGACAAAGAAATGTATCTTTAGAATCCCAGCGATGCTTAGAACGGTATTGTGGTTTCTGGCTGAAAGGACCAGGGAGGGCGGCAGTTTGCAGGAGCCGACACCTTTGAGGGCTGGAGCGGAAGATGACGATGTTTTCTTTACTGATGCGAAGGCGACGGAAGATGAAACTTGGATAGGAGGTTTCCTTCAGTCCAATACAGGGGAAATACTTGCGTGGTTTTCGGAAGAGGTACGTGAATCTTGGGCTCCGTGGCTGTTTGTTCGAAAAGACCCCAAGCGGGTTATTGCGGCGCTTGAACTTTGGCCACCCTAGTCGCTACCCGACTTTGGGCCACTGACTTGCCGAAGGGTGGACGTGGGAGATGCTGGATTAGAGGGGGAACGGACAACCTCTCAAACTCTTATGCAGTCAGCAAGTGGATGAGCACAAAATATCCACTTACCATACTCATCATGGAGCTTTCAGAAACCTTGCGCACAAGGAATTGTGAGTTGTGTCTTGAATGGATACCGGGGGACAAGAACCAGTTAGCAGACGATCTGACGAATCAGAAGTACGACCATCTCCCCAGCGACAGGAGGGTCCAGTTTGTTGGTGGCGATGCCAAATGGCTGGTCCTTTCACAGTTGATGCAGAAAGCGAACGAGTTTCACGAAGAGTTGGCCTTGGAGAGAAAGAGGAAACCGAGAGAGACAATCAGAGAAAAGGCCAAGAAGAAACGGAGGATTGATCCTTGGTGAAATCCCTCGTGATCCTTGGTGAAATCCCTCGTCTTGCAAGAAGGGAAAGATCACTGCTCGGTATTCACACCGGAAAGGACTAGATTACTAGATGTGAAAAGCAGAGATCAGGGCAATTGGGATCACCAACCTTTGATAAATAATCAAAGCGGACAAAAAAGGATCAAAGATTAATAATCCGTCGGTGAATGCAAAACAAACGCGAAACGTCCACATGTGCAGTTGTTGTGATGTTGCTTGAACGTTTTGTGTTGTGAACATTTTTGGATGTTTGGTTTTGGTTTGGTTGATTTTTTGGGTTTTATATATATATGGACGGTTTTGGACTATATGGCCGAAAGGTCTATAAGGGTTTTGCGCAGCGTAGGGCGTGCACCGCTGATTGGTTGGATGAAATTCTCCCCGGTTTCCTTGTTAGTATAGGAGGGTTTTGGGTGGATACATAGTACTGTACTAGTACGCACTCGCGACGTGTTGCGATAGTGTATTAGTTAGTAGTCTATGTACTGCGGTGTTGACGCGATGATACGCTGTTTGATAGGCATGGTGTTTCTCCCCGGCATCTCTTTTGGTTCTGCCCTACTCCTGCGTTTACTTGACGCTAGGGTAGGAGGTCTTTAGACCATGTGGGTTGAAGACTCGGTTGTTTGGATATGGTTTTGGGAGAAAAACTTCAAACTTGGGTTTGGACCCAAGCGGAAGTGAAATGAAATGAAAGTAAAAAGAGAAAAAATCTGGTTGGAAATTTTACTGGGTTCCTTTTCAACCGGGTATTGTTGAAATCGTGGATTTATTTCAAGCAAGAAATCTTTGGCAGGAAAATTTTGGGAACAATTATAACTAACTATATGTTATGTATGGTGGCCACTAAGTGGACCAAATAAAGGGTTGGAGACCAAGTGTCCCACCCACCCAAACCCTGGGGAAAGATCACTGCTCGGTATTCACACCGGAAAGGACTAGATGTGAAAAACAGAGATCAGGGCAATTGGGATCACCAACCTTTGATAAATAATCAAAGCGGACAAAAAAGGATCAAAAATTAATAGTCCGTCGGTGAATGCAAAACAAACGCGAAACGTCCACATGTGCAGTTGTTGTGATGTTGCTTGAACGTTTTGTGTTGTGAAAGTTTTTGGATGTTTGGTTTTGGTTTGGTTGATTTTTTGGGTTTTATATGATGCAGCTCAAACTCGTTTGACCGAACTTTATTTCTTGATAAGAGATGGGAGTACTAATATATGTGGATATATGTATGTACACATACATATTAGTACGGCCAAAACAATTGGGATGATCAATCTCAACATGTGTTGAAATTTCATGGATGATTGCAGTATTGCTCAAGTGAGCGTGCATCCCCATTCATTTCTTTCGTCCTTGAATGGTCGTTTTTGTCCTTGATGACTTGGGATCCATGGAACGACCCCTGGCGTGAATCCTAGCTGGATGACCCACCTGTCAGTAGCAGCAGCTCCAGTACCTACCGATTCATTCAAGCGACGAAGATCTGCCGCCCCCGTCTCACCATACGGGGCTGACTAGACAGGTTGCGGTCACCATGACCATCCACCAGCTGGCACAATCTATGTTTGGCGAGGACATCACAGATCCTGGGCTGCTGCGCGTGCTGAATCACGCAGGCGAAAGCCTCCATGGCAATACACAAGTTGGGCATTTACAGGTACCAAGAATGCTCTACTTTCAAACCGGGAGCCTTGCTAAATTCGAACTCATCAAGGAGACCATCGGCAATGCCCAGCATGATGCTGTGCTCACACGAGCCGCTGAAGCTCGTTTACACCTGGTTTAGTGCCGCCTTTTTGGCGCGTACATACCAGTCTTTCGTGCCATCGAACAGACCCAGAGACCTTGTCGATGCAGACGACCATCAATAACAACCTTGAGGAGCGCATCGTAGCGCTCGAGGCCACCGTGATGCAGCTCCAACAGCAGTTGATTGCCTTAATGCCTGTGGTCATCGTTCCGGAACCGGAAACTGAAGTCGAACCAGTCTCGGATGTCTGTGTTCTCAGTTCTCATGCCTTAATTTCTTTCTGGGGGTTGTGGCGCATTTCAGCATGTATGTTATTCACAAAGTAAATTTAAAACCTCAGTGCAATGTGTTGTTTTGAATTTTGACAAGTGATGGGAAATTTTCAATTCATTTTGAACCTTCACCCGCACCCCTTTCAGATGTCATTTGTCCCGCGTATCTGTTTTCAGCCGGTTCAATCCTGGGGACACACCTCTTTGGCACGTGCCGGACTCCTAGTGAGTTGAACGGTGTGAATGTTGCAGCATTTTGACAAATGCTCGATATCCCAGTCGTGTGACTGGTGACCCAGGCCAGCCATCTCGAGTGAGACGGCCAGGTGCTCGGTCAGTGCATGTGCACAATGACTTGTAACATGTTCAAGATCCTTTCAACTGGCAATGTTCGAAAACGGTCATTCTGCCTTTCTTAGGCAAACGTGTGCGGGGTCATGTCCTCAGAATTTCACAGTCAATCCATGTACTTCGGAGGGTTTTTGTCCCCTTTTGCCAAAAAAAAACGTTCGGGCAGCACCCATACTTGGTTCAGGTGTGCAACGCCGATTTCTACACTTTCGTATCCACCCTTCATAGCGTCACTGGTTGGGAACTCGGGGTCAAGTGACTCTCGTGAAAAGTGCATTTGCCATGTGGCGTGCACTGGTGTCCATGTCAACACAGAGTTCTGCAGTTTACATGATTTGATTTCTTTAGGCTGCTCTTCTCCCAGGCACCTGCAACGGACAAAACTTCCACGTGGTTGCCATTTTGCCTGTAACAGACACTATTGTTATTCATGTTCGAATACTTTAAACTTTTGAATTCGTTTACCTGTGAATTTTTGAAGGTGCTCCTTCAATTGCGACCAACCCTGGGAATTTTGACTTCCTTGGGAACACGTGGTGTCGAGCCAAGAGAGAGGTATCTCACAGGTTTGCACTTTTCTACTGGGCTGTCGTGTGACAGCGATAACAGCCGACGTGGCTTCTCTTGAACTATCAGAGGCCACTGCATGTGCAGATGTCAAACGATTGACAGGCTTTTCACGTCCTTACCTCTGAACTCTTGTGGAGGACACAACGTTTCCTTAATGCCTTTTGAACTCTTCATAAAATGTTTTCACAGATTCTGGTGTCCCTTATCTGCATTGAGGCAGACGGTTTTGATATATATTTTTGTGCGGAAGGAACCTTTCTGTGGTGAGGCGTGGAGAAAAATGATGCACACACACTTGGCAGAGCTTCATCAGCTGTTTTGCTCGTGAAATACTTGCAACAAACGTCCATGAAAAACTTGACAGGCTTCAACCATGAGCCAACGAGGGCGTGCGAGTCATTCTTCGTTTGAACTGGACTCCACGGAAGTGCCTGTCGGAAGAGATCAAGGAACATTGGCGGTCAAACTTGGACATTTGATGATTGACGATGCAGAAATGAGAAACCACATCACAGCTGCTGCCGCCAGGCTCCTTGAGTTAATACGTATCGTCGGCACACCAGCTTACATGTTGATATTTTTGCAGTTTCTGAGAGAAGTGGACCTTGCACGTGCCTGGTTAGGTTCAAAGATGCAAGGCCACCCCCATGACTTTATGAATCAAGTGCCGCTCCGCAAAGAGGGGTACAGATCCCTTGATTTTGGCAATGTTCGGGGGGTCATGTCTGACGAATTTCTGGAGAGATGCAACTCATTTTATGTCTTGCTTGCAAAATTGGAGAACAGTTGCACAGGGGAGAAAGACGATCAGTTATTTAGGTTCCTCTGTGAAGTGCAAGTCCTTTTGGACCTTTTGATAGTTTGCGTGCGTTGACACCCTTCCGAACGCTGCTGAACTGGAAAAGATACAGGCATGTCATGTGTTTGGCAGATGGCAATTTCACTTTCCTCAATACATTGCCAGTTTCAACAGACATCAATTTGGAAAGTTTTGCTACGTAGGAAAAAGGCTCAATGACGGACGGAGACAACCCGGACGTAGAACCCGGGACGACCCTACCAGTCCCTCCATCGTGTGATGGCCGCAGCTCTGCCTCCGATGAGGGAGATCGCAACGCAAACTGGGAAGAGGTACACGAAGGCGCAGATTTGTTTGCTTTAGGAGACAGCCCAGATGATCCTGCGAAAGGAGTGTCAGTTGAAAAACACAATCTTTTAGATGACCGTGACTCTGCCAACGATGACAAGCGTTCCGAACAAGTTGGGCCTGAGACAACCTCTCCTTTGCACCATGCAGCTTCGGGACATGAGCGATCTCTCACTGAGTCCGAGTCGAAAATCCTTGACTCAATAGTGAACCAAGCCATGCTTGGTGCAACTTTGAATGATGGGTTGGAGCTTCCATGGGAGAAAGGTATCATGGCTTGCATCTTTGGTGATGAACCCTTGGCCGCTGTGCCAAAGGTACCAACCCTTTCTCACAACATGGATGATCGTTTACCTGACCGAGAGCAAATGTTGGGCAACAACCTAGACCCACCAGCAAAGAGACAGAGGGTATGCAACTCAACCCTCAGGATGTATGAGAGAGCAATTCGGTTTAGGAACAATCTGACTGATCACGAGGCTGATGAGGCGAAATGGAACAGAGCCATTGAGAAACTATATGCAGTGATACTCTCAAGTCCGGGAGTTGTGCCCGATGGCGTCAGATTTCAGGAGGGCCACATGGACATCAACTTCAGGCAGCTTCGGACCCTTTGTGGATCAAGGAGCCCAAACACGGTAGCAAAGCGAGTGAATTTTTTTGTCAAGCGAAATGCAGTCCATAGCACAGGCCTCGAGGACTACACGTCAGCAGTGTTCGAGTGAACTCTCCCATTTCCGGGGAATACAAGTTGATCCCAATCATAGCGATTCGAAGCCACAGGCAACAATGCGTTCCAAATGGTAGTGGTATTTTGCCAGTCAATCAAGGAAGGGCCAAAGTAGCGTTGAACTGTTGCAGTTGTGGCAATCTCGTATAGAGGGTGGTGCACTTCTTGGTTGGAGGGAGAATGTCCATTGTGGAGCTGAAGATAGCGATGATAGGCTTCAGACATCGCTATTTCCGGCCAATGCACTCTGGGGCGGCCGATCCGAAAGGGAGAGGAAATTGTACGCAAAGAGTGGGAAGTATTGAACGAAATTTTATGTTCAAGGGAGTCAAAGTGGCGGAGTATGTGGCCTAGGTATCGTAGACGTTGGACTGAGATTCGTTGACTAGGGATCAGGAGACGAGGTGCATGAACGTAAGCAAGCTGAAGAAGGAAAGCATTTGAACATTCCGCATCAGAGGGCTGCAAGACCCTGTGGTAGAAGGAGCTTTTAACTTGGAAGATTTGTCGGAGAACTTTGTAGTGGAGGGCATTAAATCTGGTGATTTGGGCAGGAGTGTAAACCTGTGACTCACAACCATAAAGGAGAATTGCCATAACAATTTGTGAATAGATTTGAAGGCGCCGTCGGAACGGGAGAGCAGGATTTGTAAAGACGGGAAAGAGGGAGCGGAAGGCTCCGGACGCCTGGGAATATCTGTAGTTGCAATCAGCAACAGAGGAACCGTTGGCAGTTATGTATGCCCCAAGGTACTTCGCAGAATTAACGGGGTGGATCTGTGGGCCGAAAGGGGCAGTACCTGAACAATGAGAGCAGGAGCATGGGCTGCAGGGGTCTACACAAGGAGACAAATGAATAGGGAGATCAGAATGGAGACGAAGGAGTTGACATTTGTCCGGATTTAAGAAGAGGCCACGTTTGCAAGCTTCATGCTGAAGAGTATGCAACAGCCGATGAAGGGTGAGCTGGGTACGAGCCATCAGTACTGTGTCATCAGCATATTCAATGTCGGTTACAGGGGTGCGGGCGGAGAAGGTCCAAGGAGTGTAATGGAAAAACTGTTCGAAAAGAGAATAAACATCGTGCATCAGAACTGAAAGGACCAGAATGAACAGGTAGGGACTCAGGGGGCAACCTTGACGGATGCCGCGTGATAACTTGTAGGTGGCGGAGGTATGCTGGGGAGTGGCAACGAAAAATTTGCCGTCCTGATATAGCGAAGAAATTGCATGCACAAAGGGCAGAGGGAGACCAATTCGAACAAGAGAGGCTGTAAGATGTTCATGGCTAATGCAATCAAAAGCTTGAGACCAATCTAAGAACAGGATGTAAAGAGATGTGGTATGCCGTTCAAAGAGTTCAGCCAGGCGCCTGATAATGAAGAGAGGTGAACTCGTGGACCGCGCCTTACGAAACCCATACTGGAGGTCACTGATACGGTCATCAAAATGATAGGCCAGCCGTGCCTGAAGGAGAGCTGCATACAATTTATAAATGGAGTTGGCAAGGCTAATGGGCCTGTATGCTGACGGCATGCGGCTATTTTTACCTCCGCCTTTGAATATCATAACGACCCTTGCCAATTTCCAATGATCCGGAGCGGAGGCAGAAAGGAAGCAGCTGTTGAAGTATTCAAGGAGGAGGCGGCGCAACGCATAAGGGAGGAGTTTATAAAGGTCGATACTGACTTGGTCAGGGCCAGGAGCTTTGCGTGACTTTAGGCGGCGGAGGGCAAAATGTATGTCCACCATGGTGAACGGGGCAAAGGCAGCATCAAGACAGGGGAACTATCGGGCAAGAGATGGGGGCGGACATGAGGATGGCTTCCAGACTGTATCCCTCAAATATTGAGCAAGCACTTCCGGCTTTTCGGCGGCTGTACTTGGGCGCCCGGATGGCCAGCAAACTGATTGAGTGCGGGGTTGATATTTGGAGCGGACACGCTTGATGGTCTTCCACCGATCAGCAGGGGAGGAGCGATGATCTATGTCCAGCTGGCGCAGAGTCCAGCGCTTTTTATCGCGGGCAGCATGGGAGCGTATCTGTCTTCGTAAGGTGGCAACATCCGATGCGTTGAGTGTCCCGCTATTGAGATTAGAAATTTCTTGCTGGGTGGACACAGAGAGATAAGGTTTCCGGATGGATGCAGGTTTCCGGGAGAAGGAGACATTAGCTGCGTTTAATAAAGAGCTGACCAAATGATCAGTTTGAGCCGGTAGGGGCAGGGAGGAGAACCAACGTGTGAGTGGGTCCGGGGGTAAAATAGGAGGGGAGGGAGGGAAGGATGCATACCGACCAAGGTTGGAGGAGGAAGTGGTTCCTCGAGCGGCGTTGGAGTCTGCCCGATCATTTCCTAAATTTCCAGAATGTCCTTTTACTTTTACCACGGCAACGGGCATTTGGGAGGTGATATGGGTAAAAGTGGCTAACAGGAGGTTGGCCAGTTGGGGATTTGCAGATGGGATGGCGAGCCCAAGGAGCAGGTCATAGGCATATTTGGAATCTGTGTGGAGGGTAATTGCGCTTGTGTGGGCGGGCAGAAAAGGGAGCAAAAGCAAAGCTTCGAGAATGGCTTGGAGCTCCGCAGTGTTATTGCTGCCCATTACTGGGAAAGGGAGGTGCCCTACAGACCCAAAATGATCGATTTCAAAGGGAGCTGAAACGTAAACGCCCCAGCCAGCGGGGTTATGAAGGCTTACATTGTGCTGGTCAGGACAAGAGCCGTCTGTATATATATGGAGGGATCCAGGAATGGGTTCCGAGGTGGGAGCGTGATAGCGGGCAGAAGAGTGGCTACAAAATTGCTCCATCAGGTGCGCCTGGAAATGTAATTTCTGCTCATTGGTGGGAGGCAGATATTGTGGAGGGGCTGCCGGCTTGTGCTTTGCGACAAAATCAGGGCAAGTGAAATTGGCAGTAAGCACATAATGCCTATGAAACCAAGGGAGGCGTATGGACGGATTGGAATGGATAGAGCGGAAAAGAGTACGATATTGAAAGGGGGCAAGAACATGGTCCAAGACTGCAAAGTTGTCGACATTGGGGTGGAAAGGGTCGTCAGTTAAATCAGCTATTTCACGGTAGGTGACCAGTTTGGAGGGAGGGCGTGGCCGCATAGAGGAGATGATGCTCAGGTCGTGCTGAACTAGAAATTCAATCATGTGGGTCAGGTTGTTCGTTTCAAGGTCTGCTTCGGTACTTGTAGAGAAAAGTACTGGACCAATATGTCTGCCAAGGCCGGCAATGTGATTGGTATACAGACGGGCGTTGAAATCGCCCATGAGGATTGGGTAAGAGTGAGACGAGAATTGAGTGTACCAGGTGTCTAGAGAACGCCAGAAAATGTTTTTGCGGTCGGAGTCTTCCTGGGCATCTGCGAGTTGGGAGGGAGCATAGATGGAGAAAAGGGAAATGGGGCGGGGTTTGGTGGAGAGCTGCAAAATTGCTATCCGAGAAGTTACGGGTATAAAATCATGGACAAGCGGGTGGAGAAATTGGGGAACGGCGAAGCCAACACCGGCATGGGGGTCTGACGCATCCCCCGACAGATAGAAGTGCCAATTTAAAGATCTTACATGGTCAGTGCAAAGGCTCTTAGTTTCTTGCAGGCAGACAATTCCCATGGGGAGGGAGTTGAGGGTCTGGGCTAGCATTTCGAATTTCCCAATACCGCGCAAAGTTTCTATGTTCCACGAATGTAAAACAATTCGTCGATGCGGCGTAGCCAAAGTCTGAAGGCGGGAAGGTGGAAGGGGTAGCAAAGCGAGTGAATAGCCTCGCAAAATATTGTCTGTGGCACAGAAGTTTCTTCTACAGGAAGCACCCATTTCCTTTGGATTCAGAAGATGTGGCAGAGTACATCTGGGAAAAACATCAAGATGGAATGCCGTACAGTGCCATGATGAGCTTCTTGGAGGCAGCAAATTTCGCAGTTCATGTTTTGGGACTGCCTCTGAAACGACCCGATGCACCTCTGGTCGCAGCTTTCACCAAGGGCATCCTTGACACCGCTGCCAAAAAGCGCCCAGTGCGAAAGCAAGCAAGGCCCCTTCAGCTAGCAGAAATTGTCCTCCTGGAAGAGATGCTGAGCAACGAAGCCCTTGACATTTTCGACAGATATGCAGCTGGTGCTTTTCTGTTTGCAGTGTACGCCAGATGCAGGTGGTCAGATTTGAGGAGTGTCCATGGATGTGAAATTGATGTCGATTTTTCGAACGGCAGGCTTGTGGGCTTCATTAGCTTCAGCACATTTTCACGCAAAACTTCCTCACAAGTGGCGAAACACGGCCTTCCCATGCCGCTCATTGCACCAATTTGGGGGCTTCGGAACCCACCGTGGGCCATGACTTGGAAGAAGATTGCCGAGGCAGTGTCCCTGGATTTTGCAAATTTTGGTCGAGGTGCTGTTTTACCTTCTCCAAACAAGGAAGGGAAGTGGAGCCAACGGAGTGTTACATCCGATGAAGCTTCTCGATGGTTGGTGGAACTTTTGAAGCCGCATTCAAGTGACTTGGAGGATGTGTCCTCTCATAGCTTAAAAGCTACGACCCTTTCATGGCTTGCAAAAGCAGGGTGCGACCCACACCATCGCACCATTCTGGGGCATCATTCATCAGGGAAAGGGTCTTTGGAGGTGTATTCCAGAGACATGCTGTCAGCGCCTTTGTGTACACTGGAAGAAATGTTGCGGCAAATCCGCATTGGTGCTCTGCATCCAGACCTGACCAGGTCGGGCCACCTGCAGCAACCCTCAAAGCCTGATTGCAAAGACATGCCAGTCGAACCTGAAGAAAACCAGCCAGAACAAGCCCCTGCAGAACAGGCAGAGAAGGCACCTTCGAGCTCCAGCTCCTCCAGTAGTTCCTCAACAAGCTCCAGCTCTGATGCAGAAGGGAATGATGAAGAGCAGTGGCTCTCGCTGGGAAACGCCGATCCGTGCGTGGATCATTCTGCATGGGGAGAGTTCAATATGTACCAGCATGAAGTCAGCAAAATTGTGCATGTGGAAGCCGACAGCGAAGCATGCACGTTCAAATGCGGCATGAAAGCCACGGCTGAACACAAGCTGATTATGACCACAGCCTTCCTGGAAATCAGAAAGTGCAAGCGATGCTTAAGGGTCGTAGAAAGCGAAGGATAGCCGTCGAGGCCTAAAAGATTGCTCTTTGCTTTACAAACCATAACCAGTTCCTTTCTTGTTGGTGTGCATGTCCTTCCACATAAGACACTTGCAGAGCACTTGCAATTTATTTCCGAGTGTTTAGATGAAACAAAAACGCTTGAACTGCTTGCAGCCGCATGCATAATCACTTGCGACCCTTGCCTGAAAGGGAACTGACCAACCACATGTTGCGAGACCATCATGTGCCATGTTCTAGGTCAGTTAGCCCAATCCAAGCATTTCTGTAAGTACAATATAATTACCTTATTGCCCCCTTCTGCGCTGCCATGGCCAACCATCAACGTGAAGCCGCTTCCTTAGTGCATTCTACAGCAGCACTTAGAGATCGAGCAACCAAAGCAGGTTTGAGCACCGAGGAAGTGGAAGCAATAATCACCAGCAATGTGAATTCGATGGCCCAAATGGCATTTGCGATTACACCACCTGGGACTGCACCTTCTGAACAGGAGGTCCGTGACTTCTTCCACAATGGATTCCACAACAAGGTGCCAGTTAACTTAGGAACGGTGACCTCCACCAAGCTCCTTGTCTTCGAGTGTCACACGCTGGTGGTAGCCAACATCAAAGCAGAAGTGAATAAAAAGGATGACTCTACCACCCAAAGCACATTGCCCACAGCAGAGCGTGACAGACGCATTGCAGATCAAAGACAAAGACTTGCCGGACTGCGCCTCAAGGGCGACGAAGAGGTGGCTCACTCTTCATATGACCTGGCTTTCACTATGCTGGAAAAAGACACCATCACTTATTTGCACCCTGAGAAATTCGTGACCAGAAGGGCGGAACTGCTGCAGAAACGCCCCATGAAACAGCTGGCTCTTGACCAGGACTCCCTTACAGTCCGTGAAAAGCTAATTGATATGACGTGCAGCACGCGCACTGAACTCGAGCTTGTACAAGCCTTTCGGAGAAGAGCTTTGGCCTTTGACCTTGTGGGCCTTGCCGCTTACGAGCTGATGAATTCATATCATGCAGAGCTTTTAAGCCACATGCAAGAGGACCCGCCACCTGGGTACACACAAGTGTCTGTGACACAGGTCCTGAGGGCCGACAGAGCCGTCTTTCTGCATTTGGCAGAAAACATGACAACACTCAAACGCAATGTGGATGGTGAACTGCCCTTTGAAAAGGAGTTAATGCCAGCTTTGGCGCGACCCAATGTCAGCTTTCACTTGCTACCATTGGCGGCAAGCGCACCTGCTAGGCCGGCTCCAAAAGCCAATCCAAACAATGCAAACAAACGCAAACATGACGAACAGCCCAAGCCTGCTGCAGCACATCCCAAGAGCACTCCACGCGCCAAAGGCAAGGGCAAAGGAAAGTCCAAGAGGAAAGGCCGGGGCCCAAACGTCCCCAAGGAGTTAGTCGGCAAAGCTTTGGAGACCAATGACGGGCACAGAATCTGCTGGCCGTTCAACATGCAGAGTGGTTGCCAAGATGCGGCCCCGGGCGGACAATGCCAAAGAGGGGCCCATGTCTGTGCTGAGCCAGGCTGCGGCAAGCCACACAGCTTGCTCAGCCACAAAACTGCCTGAAGCCAGGCGACCACAGACCTTCCAAAAGCACCTGCATCCTTCGAAGCAAAGCTATCAGCCAAGTGCCAAGGAAGGAAATGTACAGATCTTTTTGCGATCGAGATTTTCTCCGGCACCAGCCGGTTAACTGCATCTCTAAAACAACTTGGCCTGAGAGACTCTTTTGGGATCGACCACGCCATTTCCAAGAAACTCGTTGCTCCAGTTGTACAGATTGACTTGACCGATTCAGCAAATTTTTCTTTTGTAAAAGACATCATACAGGAGCCTGGGTGCGTTTATGTGCACTTTGCACCACCATGCGGAACTGCAAGTCGGGCCAGATTCATTCAAAGAAAAGGAGGGTATAACCCACCTGTTTTAAGGACGGATCTCCATCCAGATGGCCTTCCTCATCTGAGAGCCAAGGTCACAGCGGCCAATTTATTGTATCGACGTACTCAAGAGCTCTGCCGCTGCTGTGTTCAGCACGGAGTCCTTTTCTCCATTGAAAATCCTGCCAGAAGTTTTATGTGGAACACCGTTCACATGGCCCATTTCCTCAAGGAAGTGCCCCACTTTGACACTTATTTTCATCACTGCATGTATGGCTCCGCTCGGCGCAAGCACACACGGCTCACCCATAATATTCCCGCAGTTTGCCAATTGGAGTGTCGCTGCGACGACACACATGCACATGAACCGTGGGGCCAGACAGACACTGGTTGGGCTACAGCCGAAGAAACGGCCTACCCGTGGCCACTGTGTAGACGTTTATCAGCCCTTGTCGCCTTGCAGCTCCAAGAGCATGGCCTGCAGTGCCCTACCCCTGTGTTTGCAACCCATGCCTCCCAACTTGATGCAATTAGGCACCACACGGAATTTCAGCCAACATTAAAGGGCTTGCCATGGGTTAGTGAATTTAAAACCATTCTCCATCTTGATGCACATCAACCTGTGCCTCCCGATGAGAGGCTCATAGGCACTCCTGCAGTGGGGTACATCGCGAGTGCATCTAAGAAAACAGTAGGAGTTCATAGATCCCCACAGGAATTCATCGACGCTGCCCTTGCAGCAAAACACCCAGGATTTGTAGCAGACCAACTCCCCAGTCCAATGTTAGAAGCCGTGGAGTTCTGTGCGAAGCACAGTGATGAATTTGTTGCAACCTCCAGATCAGAGACTCTCAGATCTATGATGGCCGAAGCACAAAACCTTGCTGGTCAAGAAAAGGATTTCAAGGCGCTTATGTCAGACAGACGCAAAGTAATCCTGGCCAAGAAGCGTTTGTTGCTTTTCAAATCACTCCTGAAGCAGGCTGACTCTCCGGATTTAGACTTGGTGGATGACATCAGCTCAGGGTTTGATTTAACTGGAAAACTGCCTGCTTCCAACCAATTCGATTGTCGTTTTCGTTACCCCTTGAAGCATTGAGAAGTGTCGCTGATCGAGCAAGGAGAGCTTTGTTGGAAAGTGTCAAGGGTTCCGGCGACAACGAGTTGGGTGCTGGGGTTTACAATGCAACCTTGAAAGAACGTGACAAGGGCTTTCTCAAAGGGCCAATTGATGCAAGTGACGTCCCACCAGGCGGCACTCTGACAAGGAGGTTTGGTGTGCACCAGCGTGACAAGGTACGCCCAATTGACGACTACAAAGCGAGCCTGGTGAATTCATCTGTAACACAGGTGGAAATGGTGACACTACACGGTGTAGACCACATCGCAGGTCTCGGTGCTGCCCTGCTCAAGGCCATGGAATGCCATGGTAGGAGTGAGACACTGGTAGGCAAATGTTGGGACCTAGCAGCAGCTTACAAACAGATTCCTTTGTCTGACGAAGCCTATAACATGGACTCCTACATCGTTGTGTTTAACCCCAATGAGGGCAGACCGGAGGTTTTCCAACAAGCGGTGTTGCCCTTTGGGTCAGTGGCATCAGTGACAGCTTTTCTACGATGTGCGATGGGGCTTTGGACGATAGGTAGCAGACTCTTGAAGTTGGCTTGGACATCGTATTTCGACGATTTCCGCCTTAGCCTTACCACAAATGGATTGGCCAAACATACTGACCTTTGTATCTCAGCTTTCTTTCACCTCATGGGCTGGGAACTGTCTGCTGACAAGTTGGTACCTTATGCTGAATGTTGTAAGGTGTTAGGGGTTGAACTCATGTTGCACAAGACGCCAGCCGGTATTTTTGAGGTTCGCAACACCCAAGCCAGAGCTGAAGAACTCACACAAACGATAACCTCAGTGTTGACCCAGGGATTTCTCTCGAGAGTTGACGGTGAAAAGCTGCGAGGTCGTTTACAGTTTGCCTCCAACCAACTGTTCGGACGGCGCTTCAAAAACTGCCTTCAGGAGTTAAACTTGCATGTGGCTCGTAACCTGCGGGCATTGAATGATGACCTGGCCTCTGCCTTGAGGTTAATCATCTACTTACTTAACCTCAATTCTCCGAGGGTGGTGAGTGTCAAACACAAAGAAAGTTTTTTCCCTTGAATCGGGTTCTCAAAATGAATCGGGTTCTCATAAGTCAGTCCTGCTTCCTAACAGCTCCACTACCATGTTTGACAAACTTTGCACAATCAGGCTTCCATGCTTGCCATTGTCAGACTGGGCCATTCAGACTACCTGTCATGCTTCCACGTCGGGCAGGCCAGTCTAGTCTGTCTAGTTAATGGTCCCCGCTTCCTACTTGAGGTGAACGACTTTTTCCTCTTTCACTTGACTTATAAGTTGCTCCTTGTGTCGCACAGACCTCTTTCTTGAACCACTTAAAACCACTTCATATCCTGCCAATTATTTCATTGGGCAAGATGGCACTTATTATTAGCCACAGTTCCTGATAATTATATTTGTTTTATCAGATATGGGGTCATGTGGCGTGATACACACTGAAATTGGCAGAGGGGCCATGTGACGATGATGATGATGATGGTGATGATGGTGATGATGATGTTGATTCGATGAGTCCGTTACGGTAGTTTTGTAGTTGTTCGGTGGAGAAGTCTTTGGTGGCGATGGAAATTTGCAAATTAGAAGCCACAAAGTCGCAACGACCAAGCCAGAAAATGAACTACTGTCCGTTTGCTGTCTTCCATCCTGCTCAGTTCTCACTGCTGCTTCCATTCGGTGAAAAAGGGTGGACCCAAGACAGAGGGATAGAAGAGATAATAAATAGATATAAACAGATAGGTGGATAGTAGGTAGATATTATTAGGTAGAAAATAGATTTGACAGACAGCCAGACAGATAGAAAGATAGATAGATAGGTAGGAAGAAAGAAATAGGTAGAGAGAGAGAGAGAGATAGAGAAAAAGAGAGAGAGAGAGAGCGAGAGAGAGAGATAAATTTTTGACAGATAGATAATAATAGATAGCTAGGTAGATAGACAGATAGATAGTTAGATAGAGAGAAACAGGGAATGAAGGAGACTCAGAGACCCAACACCATTCCTATTTCTAACTAGAAAATTCCGCCATCGCCTTTGCTGGTACTAGTGGCAAAAGAATTGCGCTTTCAGAGTGCCATGCCTGGATGCGCGTTTTTTGTGCCGCGCTGACAATCCTAAAGGAAACAGTTTGCGCGTTTTTTGTGCCGCGCTGACAATCCTAAAGGAAACAGTTTGAGACAATTCGAAGGTCAAGTCAGAACCAAAGTTTATTTTTCATTTTGCAACTTGCCAACAGTTTTGCAGAGTAGCGTGCCTGGCCTTTGCACGCGGCGACAGGTTGGTTCAGGACCAGCTTCAGCATCCAAAAATATCCCAAACATTTTTGTTTTCAGTTATTTCCACAGGGACTGCGACAGAAGAAACTTCGCAGCTGACTTTGGCATAATGTGTGTGCCTGTTTTTTTATGCATTAAGATCCACCAGCAAGTTGGCAATCATTGTGCTAGGCACAGCATCCAAATCCGCTGATCTCTGAGATAGTTTCATTTGTCATGCGCGCATGGATCCCGCGCCGTTGGGTGCAGTGGATGGGCCAAGTGATGATGAGTGCAGTGCTGCGGATTTGGATGCTGTGCTGCGCACCCCGCAGCCAAGTGATGATGAGAGCAGTGCTGCGGATTTGGATGCTGTGCTGAGCGTCCCGCGGCGTCTTCGGGTTAGGAGGGCATCAAGTGGAAACCTGGATGACCCAACAGTCTTGAGGGCGACACTAGGAAAGCCTTGCGGTTGCAAAATCCGTGGTGGTTGTGTCACGCAATTCCAGCGCCATTCGGACTTTGAGGAGTTGAGGCGCTTTCGGGAAGAACTGAAGTCTTTGCACAAGCTTGACCAAGATCGGGTTGATACTCAGCATGAACAATGTGTGTTTTCATTGTCCATTTCCCACCATCAATTTTCAACTAATCGACATTGTTTTGTTGGCTATTCTTTGGTGACTGCCATGTCGGTTTTCATGATCATCTCTGTCCGCGGGGCTCAGGTACATGACCAACTTCGACAGCAACTGAGTTCAGACGAATCTGCATGGACCTTTCTCGGAAAACCTGTTTGTCTCAAAGCCTGGGAAAACCTTGTTGGGATTGGCCACTGTTCTTTGTGCCCAGTGAATTTTCTTTGGGAATTTTCTTGGATTTTTTGGCATTGGTTGAAATGGCGCGTATTAGAGTTTCTTTCAAAATTTGGTCAGCTGTCTGATGCTGGTCTGGTGCATGTGAGGCTCTGGGAGGTTCAACAGATTGAAAGCATCTGCAGTCAACGGTGATCTGACTCCTCCTGTTGACCTCCGGTACTTGACCAAACCTTGCTCAAAGAGAATCTTGGATGCTGATTTTTACAGTCCCGTACATAATATTAAAAATAGTTTGCTGATTTCACAATCCTTGGCCAGTCAATTTTTTTGGAACGAAAGTATTGTCAGCTTGACAGTTGATGAGTCGTTTGAGGTACAGGCATGGACCACACTGCCTCCGTGGTCTCTTACCTCATGGAGATTTACCACAGTGTGGCGGAGACATTGCCGGATTTTCGTGATGAGACGTTAGATGTGGAGACATCTTTGGTTGCAGGGGACGGTGAGGATAAAGATTTTTACTCAGACCTTCTGGCAGCTCAGCAGGCACTTGGCCCGGGCCCGGAAAATCCAAAGTCTTCATCATCCAGCAAGCCAAAGAATCCAAAGCATCGCAAAATGCGAAAGTCCATCAAAGTCAACTTGGCGAGGAAACCTGAGACCGGTGGCCTCTATGAGGACAAATGGCTGCCACCTGGGCAAATGAAGGACCACTGGGAGTTGTACCGTCGATGCCAACGTGGACATGAATGCGCATCTTTCTCGACATTCTGGAGAGCACCCTGGTCTTTGTTTGTTTTCATGGGTGATCGGTGTTGTTTCATGATGGAATCATATGGAATCAATTTTAATGCAGAATATCATGTATCTATTCTATTATCCATTTACTCTTCTAACTATCAGTCATTATTTTTACTTTGATTTCTATCTATCTAATCTATCCATCTATCCATCTATCCATCTATCTATCTATCTATCTGTCTATCTACTATCTTACTATCTATCTTAGTCTATCTATCTATCCGTCCATCTATCCCATAATTGATCTATTATTTACTATCCATCTATTATTTACTATCAATCTATTTTATCTTTCTATCTATTTTCTATCTCATAATCTATCTAGTGTTTACTGTCTATCTACTATTTATTATCTATCTCTTTAACTATCTATTGCCGGCTATCGATCTACTATTTGTAAAAAAATATCTATCTGTCTGTCTGCCTATCTATCTACGATCTATGATAGTAGGTAGTAGATAGATTCAATAGATAGTTGTTATTAGACAGATGGACAGATGTCACATTCTGTCACTATCTATCAATCGGTCAGAAATACCAACTATCTAACTCATATATTTCTTTCTGTCCATCTGTCTAATAGCAACTATCTATCTATTGAATCTATCTACTACCTACTACCTATCTACCTATCTATCTAGCTATCTAGCTATCTAGCTATCTAGCTATCTAGCTATCTATCTATCTATCTATCTATTATCTATCTATCTACCTGTCCATCTATCTGTCTATCTATCCATCTATCTATTCTATCGATCAACTATCTGTCTCTCTATCTATCAGCTATCTAATAAACAATTATCTAGCTATCTGTCAATTGATTCAATCTATCTATTGATCGATCTATCTATCAACTATCTAAATCTTTCTTTCTAACTATTCATCCAGTATCTATCTTTCTATCTATTATGAACTATCATCTATATGTTTATGGATCTTTCTGTCTACTTATTTTTATCTACCGTGAGGAGGGAGAGAAAAAAGAATTCCTGAGGAAATATGATAGAAACAAAACTGAGTGGAGATAGAGCTTGAAGACCCTGAAGTTGGCCACAGGTGAGTCTGACGAGAAATTAACTTACAACTGAGTTTGATTGATTATGTAACAATTCATGGTTCTATGATTTCTTCCCGCCAGTACCAGCAAGGTATGGCTGCGGGAATTTCCCTTTCTAAAAGTGCGTGGTTTGCGCCAGCACCCAGAGTGCTCCACGTGCGTGAAGCACAAGTGTTTGCTGAGAAGCTTGTCAGGACACATCTACGCCCGTCAGAAGCAGCAGCAAGCCTATCACAATCACTTGCACTCTCAGTATCGAGATCGGCTTCAGTACTGGGGGCACCGTGGAATGTCACGGTCGAGGGGAACTGAATTGGTGATCATATGCGACGGGATGGACCAATCCAAATTCTGTTTTCCGAGGCACAAGATTATGAAATCAAAGGATTTTGCCAGCTTTCAACGACCTCGTTGCCATGTTGTCGGCATGATCCTTCACGGCCGCGCGATCCTCTTCGCGATCAGTGACGCCGATTTACCCAAAGATGCGAGCACCCATTGCGAGCTACTTGCTCATGCTTTGACATGGATCAGTTCAATGGAGGATCTGGCAAATCTGAGTGTCACTCTGCAGTGTGACAACACGCCGAGGGAATGCAAAAATAACGTCATGTTAGCATTCCTTGCAAGCTTGGTCGCCAAAGGTAGCTGGCCCTTTGTTAGCAAAATTTTGTGATCTGGAAACCCCACGTCGGCTCCAATGTTCCATCCTATTCCAACCTGTGAACAAATTTTACTGAAGCCGATCTTGATACTGAGAGTCGATTGTGGTTTAAGCTTCCTGTTGCTTCTGATGGGCGTAGATGTGGCCTGACAAACTTCTTTGTGACCTGTGGTAACTTAGAAAAAGTTATCATAATCAACTCACCCAAATTTATGTGATTCAATCCATCAGTCAGGCATCATCCGTGAGAGTGGCCTGTCCTCATTGAGGTCAGGCCACTCTCACGAGGATATTGACCAAGTTTTCGGGCGGCTCTCCAGCTTCATGGTTCGACATGGCCATGGAAGTCAAACGACCGAAGATTTCCGTGCTTTGATTGAGCGTTTCTTGAAGGAGGCAGAGTTCCCATTCGAGCCACCTGCCAGAAGACGTTGCATCAAATTGGACCAGACCAGGGATTGGCCCCTTACCACCGCCACTTTAGCACTTTTGTCTTCACGTCCTAGTTACTAGTTTGATTTGTCCAATTGCCTGCATGTTGCATTCAACCAATTAATTGTCTTGGCCCAGGAATTCTTTCTTGAGCCAAGCTGTTCCAGTTCACCTCAGAGGAATCGGAGGACCGGGCGCCCCTCACGTTTTCAGAATGCAGAGACGTTGCAACGCAGGCCAGACCTTGTTTCAATCCCCCAAAGTTTACGATAGTTAGAATCTGATTGACCTTCTGTGGTGGAAACAGGTTGCCACATGATGGCTTGGATTGTTGCTTGTCATGCTTTTTGTATTTGTCTTGATTTAGTTAGGTTGATGATGTTTGGATGGGATGTTGATGCAGGCCTTGAGAGACACCAGATCAAAGACATCTTCTGGCGGCTGTGTCCTTGGGAAGAGGGACCTGACGACATTGTGTTGTCGTCGCTTGTATGCAGACTTTTACATTACGCCGATTTTTGCCAAATTCAAAGTGGTAAGTAGAATAATTTTTATACCTGATGTTTGGCGCCAAAAATGTTTCAATTATAGTTGACTTAGCTCCTATGCCCTCACACTCGTGACCAGGACAAAGAGGTGGATGCACAGCGAAAGCTATGGTGAGCATTTGCTGTACTATCCGCAAAAAATTGGTGCTGACTACCTTCCATCAGGTGTCCCAGCAGGTTCCGCATTCAATGGTTTTCAGTTTTCAATTTTTGAAGTCCTACTGCCCAGTTAAAATACATTTCTCAATCTTTGGGGCCCTGCAGTTGTCAGCGAGAAGAACCCGATCGCCCCGTCATACAAAGACCACATCCTGAAGAATGCCATCCTTTTGAGAAACCCTTTGTATGGTTTGCAAAGATCTGCAGAGTATCTGGAACAGTGGGTCAGTGGGTCAGTGGCCTCCTCCCTCCTAGACCCCTCTTGGACGTATCAGCGTCTCTAGTTTGAATACCTGAGAATGCTTGAACTGTTTTCTTTGATCCATCCATTTTTTTATTTGGGGTTTCTTCCCCGTGGCAAATCTTTCTTTGCCAGAACCCCATGCCTGGCAAATCCCAGGTGTGTTGCTGCAGCAGGAAGGAGACGAGATCCTGATTCTGATCTGGCCCCAATTGCGGAAACTTTCGAAGCGGAGCCGAACCGTTTGGTGTGGCTAGCCTAGCAGTTGGTTGTTTGTTGCTTTTGTCCATGACCCACATGTTCCTTGCAGACCACTCCCAGACCCCATATGTCCTTTGCCTGATTTTGGGGCATTTTTGGAAACATGTGGAAGTGAGATATTTTTTGCAAACGATGCAAGGCTGGAGCGTCGAAAGGGAACGAAGAAGAAGGTCGCAGTTTACAGGCAAAAGGCTGCCCGGAGGTCTGTGTTGCAAATGGCAGCCAAGTCCTGGGCTGATGGAGTTCCATGGGAAGAAGCCTTGCAAATAGCAAAGCGCGTTTCTGCAAGACTAGTAGCTAAGGGTAAGGGATCGGGCAAAGGGAGATGAAGATCAGATAGAGAATCAGAAAGTTTGTGCAACACATGCTATATTCAATTCCCCTGAAAGCAGTAAAGATCAGATAGAGAATCAGAAAGTTTGTGTAACACATGCTATATTCAATTCCCTTGAAAGCAGTACACATCTTTCTTTTCCTGCATCACCCTGCCAATTAGATTTGCGAGTTTCTGGAAGATGCAATCCGGAGTCAGAGTCAGGCTAGGCCTGCGATGTTTGACAAAGAATCTCTTGGCCACAGCTTCAGGAACATGCCAGTTTATAAATTCTATGCACGGCTTATTTTGTGACTTTTGGGCATCTTGGCTTCACATTTTATCCAATTTCTATTTGGCACTAGAACAGAGTGATTCCGGAGCTTAGCCACAAGTGTTTAACTGGTTTCACGCTTGGCTGATTGTCTTTGCCGGCGGCTACATCCCTGATGAGGGAGGTGTTGGAGCCTCATTTTTGATGGGTGGCACCTGGCATCATCAGATAGAATTTTCTGCTTGTCAGTCAGAGATAACACGATTATATCACAGTGAGTACACAATCGTTTGATGCAGGCCGAAGATTGCTGTCAAATTGTGCTTGAGGTCCTTTTTGTTTCGTGCTCATCAATGCCCATTGAAAGGCCAGCTGCTGCTTTCCAAAGCTGTCTTACTGTTTTGGTGTTCTTCCAGCCTTGCATCCTCTTGACCCCTGACCATTTGAGTTTTGGTTATTGTTTTGCTGCAGTTGTTTCACATCCCAAAGTTTCTCGTCCGGTGAAATGAATGCCAGTACTGGACCACAAGAACACCACTACGAATGTCACCCAAATCGAAAGATGCATTGCTGAAAAATTACTTTAACTTTACACTTTAATTCCAAAAGGCAGTACTGTCCTTGTGGTAGTTTTATTGTTGACAACACGTAGCTGTGCCAGCATGGCATCCTTTGCTGCTGCTGCGCTTGTGGAGATCCAGCCGCAGCATGGAGCTGGCCAGCACAGCCTTGCAGCTGAAGCCAAATTGCTGGCTGGATTTGTTTCCGCGGAGCTGAATGAGTTGAAGCTGTGGCGGATTTGGCAGTTCACGCGAGAACTGCATGGATTGCTCGTGTTCTTGGCATTGTTCTTGGAGAAGGAGGATGATGGTGCGCCCCTGGAGCTGAGCCACTACACCACCACTGATCGTGAATCAGAAGCACTGGCACAATCTCCAACTTTGGAAGACATCGAGGGGATCACGGAGGAAGCACAAGGTATGTTCGCCAAAACCACTGGGCTCAGGAAGTTCCAAATTTACAAGGCGTTGGACGTTGCCACGGATAATCTGTTCGCTTTGGAATCGCTTCTTCATTGGCCGGCAGCGGGACAAATGGCCATTGCATTGCAGCATGCTATTGGCTGCGATCTCGAATGACGTGGGTGCCGTTCTGCTGCTTCTTGGATCTCAACTTCGCGAGATGATTTTGTGAAAAAAGTCCAGATGGTATTGGGGTTTCATGAGAGACGATCTCAGCTTGCATCTTGCTGCTGGGGTTTCCTGGAGTTTTTGACTTTGCCCTTCATGTGATACTAGAAGGACAGAGAAGTCGCAGCGTTGTGGGAAAAACAAATTCGATTAGTTCCTGCAACTGCTCTTGACATTGCAACTGTGCTGAAGAGTGGGCTTTTACAATGTCCTTGCTTCGACTTCGTTGTGTCACAATGATTTCATTGTTTAGTTTCCGCCAGGTTGGAATCACAGCGTGGTGCCTCAGCGCTTTGATCAATTACATTTCAGTCAATCTTTAAGCTGGGTCAGTCACATTGATTTTTTTCATGCCAAGTTCAGCAGTGAAATTGAGCGTAGCACATTTGCTTTCCCATCGATTCTTAGATTTCGGCTGAAAAGGGTAACAGCAGGGGTTCTACTATTTTGTCATGGAGTGCCTTCCACCTGTAGCCCTGCCAGAATCTTGGTGCTTCGCTGTATTCACAAGTCTGAATTATTCCCTAACCTTAATAAGGGGTCAAGCCAGGGGGGGTTTAGCCAGGAAAGGTTTTGAATACTGTTCAAACAGAGGAAAAAAGAGAAAAAAAAGAAAAAATAAGAAAAAATAAGAAATAATAAGTTTTTGATAGGTTTTTTTTTAGATATATTTTTTTTAAAAAATGAATTAACTTGTACATTAAGTCATTTTATTTTTTTTGGTCAGGGAGTCAGGTGCACTTTTTCATTTTTAAGCTTCAGGTTTTTAAGACATTTATTTGAGACACCGTATGCATTGGCTCAATCAAGTCATTTGATTTGACTACATTTACACAGTGATTTCTCAATTATGACGACTGCAGAGCCAACCTCTGCATTGCTGATGAAACCTGGGTGGGCCCACGAGATCTTGCACAATGGAAAAGACCTGGAACTCAGATCAAAGCCTTGTCATTCAAAGGTGGGCAAGACTGTTGCCCTTGGCACTGGTGGAATGCTCCTGGGAGAGGTGACAATCGTTGGTTGTTTTTTGCTGGCTCATGTTCGAGATGGACAGTTGAAGGATCACAAACCTCATTCGTTCAGAGCGTGCGCCGACCGCCATCACGTCTATGATTGGACTGTTATTGAGTACAAAGACATTTGGGCTTGGGAACTGAAAAATCCAATTGTCTATAGCACTCCAAAACCATATTTCCATCCTAGGGGTGCAATTGTTTGGATTGATTTGACCAAACAACGTGATGGAAAATCACTTGTCAAGCGTGAGCCGGAACAACGCATCAGACGGGTGGTGACTAATAATAAGAAGAGACCTTCAACTTCAGTCTCTTGAAATAGTCAATGAGGCAAACATTTGAAAATCGAACATTGCATGAAATGATTCGATGACAAATGATTTTAATTTTCCAGTACTTATCATTCTTATTAGTTTTAAGGCTGAATGACTACTGGAATGAATTGACTATTTTTGACTCATTGACACAGCAATGCATTGTGTGTGATGATTGTCCGATTGTGTGACATGATTCACCTGCCAATTTCAATGCCAATGAATGAACAGCAAATTGATGATGCGTTGCGCCTTTGGTTGACTAGTCATTTTGAGCATCATTGCAGCCAGTTTATCATTGTCCGGGACTCAGCTGAGTACAGTTACTAAATTGTTGCAATGATTCAATTGGCAACTCCATGTCAAGTTCAAACCAAGTCATCATTGAAATCATTAGGTCGATATTTATTTATTATTGATTTAGAATAGTCAGCACACAAATCAAAACTCAAACCAGTTCGAATCTTGCATTGAAACTGCAAGGTGACGCACTGTGAGTGCTTCTTTGACGCAGGATTGCTACTGCCAGTTGCTCAGATTGAGAATTAAGGCTCAACGAAGACTAATGACTATCTTCAGTTCAGTTCATTCATTTTTATTTTCATTTGCTTGAAAATTAGTATATTATATAATGGTATGGCAGAGGCAGAATCAGACTGTAATAATGCAAATTCTCATGGCAACTGACTGTTTGTTGTTCCGAAGGAAGTGGCTCAATTCGACAGGTAATGAATCAATGAATGATGAATCAAGCATGGCGTGAAATCATTGCAGGATCATGACTCACTGGAATCCGAGAAATAATGATATTAATTTCATGTAGCTAAGCTAATGCAATTACAATATTATGACTCGGCAAAATATCAGTGAAATGAATTAATGACCATGAAAATTTCATTTAGAATTCAGCCAACTCATCTCTTTTGCCTTGTGGCTTGCTTGTGAGATCATTTCCATTTGTGTGGAATCATTCTCCAGCAGCCAGGTAGCCACGTGGCTTGCTATTGTGAGATCATTTCCCATTTGTGTGGAATCATTCTCCAGCAGCCACCACAATGACAGATAGCTGGCCCAATGGTGTTGTGACAGAGTCGGACAACTGCAAGTTCCTGAATTTGCTTTTTGCAAACGCCCCACGGAAGGACTTGACGAAGTCTCTGCCAACTTGGTCCTGGGATCATGGCATATTCAAATCTTGCTTCCTGACTTTTGTGCGTGGAATCCATGACGTCAATGACCTCAAAATGATCGAGGTTTCATTCAACATTTTTAATGACCAGCAGAAGTGGGAAGCATCAAATGGGCACATGTCTCAGGTTGCCCACCGCATACACGATATTCAAGGGTCTAAGAAGGCAACACGTTACTATCGCCAGGCAACCCTCAATGGCAACAATTGCGATTGCCGGATCAGCTTTGGAGGGGACGACAAGTGGAAAAAAGCCACATGCCCAAGGGCAGCCAATGCTCATCTCCATGGCCAAATTTTCGAAAATTGTTTGATGAAGAATATGAAGAAGAATCATGAGGACTTGTTTCCACAGGAGACCGCTTTGCCTCATTGGCTAAAATCTGGTACATTCCATGTATTATTCAATGAATACAACCACCTGGAGGGAAACTCAATCGATTTTCATGATGACGAGGGAGAAACCTACAGCTTCCTTGATCCCATTTGCTCATTCACATTCAAAAGTCCTGGAATTCTTCTGGTCAAGCGCAAGTCTGGGTCCAAGGGGAAAAGCGAGAAGAACGAAGCATCCATTCTTCTGCTGTTTCAGAATCCTGGCGATTGTGTGGTCATGTCTGGTTACTTCCAGCAGTTCTACCAGCATGCTGTTCCTGCCAGACATAAATGGGCTGACATCCGCGAAAGGAGGGAGTACGAGGGAGTTCCGATTTGCAGTGATGACGAGCACTGGACGCAGTTTTGTAAATTCTTGGACCACTTGCAGAAGGATTCAGAATCAGCCAACACGACATGGGCTTGGCGATGGAACTGCACTCTCAGGTGGCATCGCAATCACATTGGCGGCTGCAGGTATGCTGTGAGAAATCAGCCTCCAGAGTCGATGCCTGCGAGACAGCCTGGGCCTGGGCCTTCTTTGACAATCAAAATGCCTTCAGTTTCAGTGACTCCGTGGAGTACACATCCTCAAGTTTTGAATTTCGCGGGCAGAGTGCAGCAGCCTCAGCAGGCAGCTTCAAGTAGTTCAACATTCACTGTTCGGCCAGGTGCTGTCACTGTCATTTTTCCTCAGGGCATGGCTCTAATGGGTCCAATTGGTCAGGCTGCCGCCACGTGTGTCAGTGATTCAGCACTTGTGTCTGATGATCGACCGGGCAGACTGATTCAATCCGCCACGTGTGTCAGTGATTCAGCATCAGTGTCTGATGATCGACCGGCCGGACTGAGTCAATCTGCCCCGTGTGTCAGTGATTCAGCATCAGTGTCTGATGATCGACCGACTCAATCATTATGGCGGGGGACCAGGTCCAAACGCACACAGTCACAGGCCAAACCCGAATCTGCTGCTGATTCACTGACAGCAGGCAAAAACATAAACATGGCAAAAATTGTGAGCATGTATGTTGACAGACTGGGTCCAAAGTTAACTGCAGACATGTTGAAGAAGTGCTGGTCTTTTTTTCCGTCTCCGCATGCCAGGGAAGACCAGGTAGAATTTTTGAAAAAAATGTTGTCAGACATTTCGGAGACGGAAGCGACGATCAGAGAGGCATTGTGTGAGGGGGTTGATTTGAGCCCACTGTCACTGTCACCAGCAGATCCAATGCCTTCAGACAAATGGCTCACATCCTTGAGCAAAAGCAAAAGTGTGATTGATTTGAAACTGTCTCTGTTGACCCAACAGAAAATGCTTGAAGAGTTTCTGAACGATTCTCAATGGGTCAATGCGTACATTCAAAGAAGTCAAGTGAACGTGCTGCAAACCAGGAAGCATTTGCGGAGGTGTCCTGTAAAAGGTCAGGATTTTGTCGACTGGTTTCGGCAACAGAGAAATTCTTTTGACACTGGGGCTTTGAAAGAGTTTGGATGGCTCAAAATGAATGCATTTATTGATGACTGCCTGCACGTTGTTCCTTCAGGCAAACAGTACCCATTCAAAGAGTACTTCAATGGTGCAGTGGTCCTTGAGACCATTGATTTTTCAGTCAGTGATTTGAGGAAGGACGATCCCATTCAACATGGACTTCTGCAGGTCACTGTCATGACTGCTCCGCTGCAAACAGTTTGCAAACAGTTGTCCGACGAACAAGTGCAACAATTTGCAGATCGGATCGGGTACATGCTGCAAAGTTTGGTGTTCTTCATAGAGGCTTCGAGCGAGGAGAACAAATGCTTCCTCAATTTGTGGGTTGCCGATTACAAAACAAAAACCGATTACAGTAGAAAAAAAGCAAAATAAATGGTGACTTGCGGACCAGTCAATGACAGCGCTGCAGTGCCAAAAAAAGGACTCTAACTGACAGACAGATTCTCAGATGTCATTTACTTGAATTGAATCAGTCAGTCAATGAGTCAAAATGCAATCAATAACATTGATGTTGAGTTTGAAGCACTGTCATGGACAATAAATGGTGACAAAATCCCTCAATCAGTGAGTGAGGTTTTGGTCGATCAAAACAAGTCGGGGCCTTAGCACTCATTAGCTTCAGTAATCTAAATCATTTTTGCTGCCGCGCTTGATTTTTTCGTTTGATTGACAATTGATTGTGAATCATGGCCCATTTCCATTGTTGCTATCTTGGTTATTGCCTCACTCACTGACTGAGGATTAGT